CGATGGCCAATCATAGCCGTCGCTCGCGCGCCGGCCCGCCAATCGATCCACGTCACCCGCCTCCGCCGCGTCTGCTCGGCGGCTCGGCGGTCTACCTCGCCAGCCTTGTCCTCGGCTGTCAGGCTCGTCGGCTGCCTCAAACTCGGGCGCCGCTGCTCCGTTGGTCGCTCGGGCATCGCTGCCCGGGCACCACTGCTGCTTTGGCAGCCCGGGTGCCGGTGCTGACATCCCACGCCGTCCGTCATCGCCGGCCTCATCCAGGACTCCGCCGCCACCACGCCTCCATCGATCGGCGTCCCCGTCCTCGCACGCGATCGGCTTGATCACCCGCTTGCTGCCGCGATCCGCCTCATCTACGCCGCGCGACCAACCTGGCATGTTGGTGACGCGTGCCTCCACAGGTCCCGTGAAGATCGTCCTGAGTACCGTGCGCCTCTCCACCGATCGAGCATCGGGCTGCCCCTGTGTCGCCCCGTCGGGCCGCAGTGCCGTCGCCCCGTGCTTCTCCTCGCGGCTGCATCGACTCGTGCGTCGCCACTACGTCGCCCCTTCGGGCCGTAGTGCCGCGATACGCGGTCCCCGCTGCCACCTCGAGGCCATCCCCGCAGTTGCACCGACTCACGAACCGCCATTGCGTCGCCCCTTCGGGCCGCAGCGACGCAGCCTGCGGTCCCTGCCACCGCCCGAGATCTTCCCGCCGTCGCCCCGACCCGCCTGTCGTCGCTGCGTTGCCCCTTCGGGCCATAGCGCCGCGGCCCGCGGTCCACTCGGCCGTCACCGCGCGTCGACCTCCAGTGGTATGCGCCGCGTCGTCTCCCTTGGCGCGGGAACGCCATCGTCCGCGTCGGTCTTCATCACGCTGTCAGGGTTCTTCGCCTACTTCGAGCACCGCCGCCGCACTTTTAACCTAGCCGCCGCCGCCGCTCTTCTTTGGCCATCGCCGCCGCTACCTCTATAGCCGCCGCAGCCGCCCGTCCACCCCCTTCATCTCCGTCCAGCACCAGCCCGTCGCCAGCGTCGCCATCATCTACCCCGACCGCTTCATCTACTCCGACAACCGCGGGCGACATTGGCCCCGCGCCGATTGGCGCCGCAAACGTCGTCGAGTCCTTCTCTGCTGGCCTCTCAAACTTCCTCGACATGGCGTACAGCTCGTGCAGGTCCCAGTCTACGCATGCCCGGTGCTGGCAACACCGCCGCATGCCTTCGTCCACGATGTGTCCCCGGGCCTGGCAAGTCTGGTGCGGCGCTTCGTCAACTTTGTCTTCGTCCGTTTACGCATGCCTGGTGCTGGCAACACCGACGCGTGCCTTCTTCTATGATGTGTTCCCGGGGTTGGCAACCCCGACGCAACGCGTCGTCAACATCATCTCCTTCCTGGCGCACCACTACTTCGAGACCACTGCGCCCACGACTAACTCGGCGTCTCCTTGCGCCCGCGGCTCCACGGCGACTTCCTCGACACCGGCTACCCCGACTCGACATCGACCACGGCATTCTTTGCACTGCTACCTCGACCACAGATCCACCACCCGCACTCTCGGCTACATCGACAAACGGCACAAAGGGCTACCGCCTGCTTGAGCAACCTCGTTGGTTTTCACTCCAGCCACAACTCCGCGATGCATCGGCCGTTACGACTGTGGGGGGTGTCCGTCGGCTTGCCTTCGGATTCTTCTCCAGTCTCACCGTCTGCGTCGCTCCCGTTGTGACTGCGGGGGGATGTTGAGTATATTGATTATTAGAAAAGACTAGATAGACTAGGATTAGTTCTGGCTTGTCTTGTACTCCAAGTTGATCATTGTACTCCTATATATATGCCCACGAGGCTCAAGCAATACAACAACTATTCCACCAAATCCCTCTCTCCCATCTAACATAAAGGTCATCCTTCCTGGACGCTCCACAGTGGCCATGTAGAGCTCATTTAGTCCTGGTTCGTAAGCCAACCGGGACTAAAAGTGCTGGGTATTAGTCCCATTCGTTTTGTCCTGGTTGCAAAACCGGGACTAAAGGCCCTCTAAAACCGGGACCATAACCCTGTTTTCTACTAGTGGGTTGCCGTTGAAGATGCCCTAAACGATTTTATATTTCTTTAGAGAGAGTAGCTTGTTTTGAAAGTTGAAACATACATGCTTCGGCACGAGACTCGATTTCTGAACACGATTCGTGATCTTGTTGGACCGAGGTGTGCACTGCATGATTAGGAGGGAATCTATCAGCACATATGCATGCAGGCAAAAGCAAGCAGCAAGAGGTGGACAGAGAGCAAACACGTATATGACCTGCAACATACTATATACCATTGTCCCTTTGTGCCTGTAGCTAGCATCCCTGCATCTGCGTGATCATCGTCGATCCATATGCCACGTCGTTTGGCAGGACAGACCCACCCGTCGATAGGTTAGCGTTCGCGCCGTGAGGACCATGCAATGATCATATGGCACATGTGCCAGAAAGAGAACATTTGCAACAACGTCTATGCATAGGAGGAAAGGCACAAATCTGGCCGATCTTCGGACCAACCAGTACCTTGCTTGGCGAGAACTTTTCAGCAGCAGGTTGCATATGTGGGCAGGCTGCCATGCCATGCCATGCATGATAAAAGCATCTTACAATCCTGTACAAGCACAATGCCCTAATTTGTTTGCATGTGCAGCTAGAACCCTAGCAGCACTGTGTACATGTCATGCATGTTAAAACCTACTGTCCGCGAGGCTCTGGTATATAGTGCGTGCGTGCAAACAGTAGTACATACAAGGTGACAATGGAATGTCCAAGAAACAGAATGCTTCCAAGCATGCATCATGTGGACGTGGTAAGAGTAATACTACTCTATACATATACTGCTACAGGTTGGCATGCATATGGTTTTCATATATTTGCAAAGCTTGATTGACATCTAACAGATCCATACGCGCATAATATACTAGCGTATAAACACACGAGCGGCGATCCCATGTTCCTCACTTCTGCGGTTCATCTCCCCTCGCCGCCGCCGTCGAGAAAATATGTTTTACATATGATTACACACACCGATCAAAATAAATTTCTTCCTCAATCATTGCCCTTGTCCACTCCTAATTTACGGGTGATTTGTTTGTATAGCATGTATGACTACGACTCTACGAACAACTTAGGCACGTTCATGCATATCGGGGAGCATAAGTGCTACAGAGAGTATGGATACAAAACGACACACCGACTTGTGGATTAAACTTTGCTCTCATGAGTCACAAATCCGGTGAGTCATCACAAATTAATTAGTATATAGTCCACCATTGGTTCTGTTGTGTGGATCCTATAGCAAGCTGACGCATGTACAAATTAAGGTTTATTGAAAAGTATATGTAGGAACTAGGAAGCATCCTCTGTATGTAAATGTATATGTCCCTCCAGATCTGCACGTCACATGGAATCATATTTTACTGGAAAATATTGAAGATGAATAGACCTTGTCCTTTACGGTCACATGAAGAGCCCACCTACCTGCCCAACAAAACAGAAAACCTAAGGGCAACCACCACCTTTAGAAAAAAAAAACTAAGGGCACCCACCAGCTCCCCAAAGATTGATCACGCCGAATTTCATGGCCCCACCTGTTCCTCTCTCCCCACCCCCTGTTCTACACACACTGAAAAGTTAGGCAGGCATATATGGATCTCATAAATTCTAAAAAGTGTAGGAATGTTATGTTTTTCTGTAATTCCCCTAAGGTAACTATGATTATTTGTACGGGAAACTAAGTGTGTCCTTATAAACCTAGTAATCACACTAAAGATTTGAGTTATGGCGAGAATTTTTCTCATCCAGTGCAGAGCACGTAAAGAATAGAAGCATATCGTTGCAAAAATAAGCAAAGAACGAAGACATTGAAAAGTTCTTATGGATTATAACCCATGTTGTAATTTCCAAAATTTACCACTCTCCCGAAATCCTTTGAAGAACTTTTATAGCGATAATAATACAAACACAGATGATATGTTGTTCTTGAGTAAATAGTGAACAAATCAACATAATGACATAGGGAGATTAAGGACAATTATGGACCGATAACTTTCTTCAGGAAGTTTATAGCTAGCTAGAACGATGTACAGATACAATGAGAAATGAAGATTCAGTTAATAATAAGAAATAGAGCGCATCTTTTATGAAATCAATTAAAAAAGATAATGCATTAATTTCTCTGTTTTACCATGTCTTAAGCTCACCACTTGCATAGACAAAGGAAACACTAAATATAAGAAAAATAAATATGGACCAAACATGCGTGACACTATCACATGTGGTAACCATTCACAAAGCATTATTGTAGAATTGGAGCCAATTGTTACATTCTTGGTTTAGTGAGTGTATCCAGTAGAGCAGTAGCAAACTAAGTAACTAACAATACATTCCATCACGTAGAGCAAAATATGTTTAAGACTATTAGCAAATTGCACTTATCTTTATCTAGTCACTTTTTTCCCACTGGTTGCTTGGTGACCCAATGATAACATTAGCAAATAAAGGCGTGAATCAATGAAAGAGAGTGTCCTCTAGCGAAGCGTAGCTCAGTTGGTCAAGTTGCTTGTGGTGGATTTATTTTAGTATTTAATGCCTTTATGCTTTCAATTGTAAGCGAGGTGCCTGTAATAAATTCGTCAATCTCAAAACTTACTGTTTCAGTCTCTTCGTGCAGCTTATAGTAGTAGGGTGTGCGTCTATGGGTTCATAGGGTGAGTGCTCTGTATAAGCGTGTTTGTGAGCTCTGCATCCTGTATTTATTTAAAAGAAAAAAGAATAGCCTCTCTAACTTGCAAAAAAAAAAAGTAGCCTCTAACTATAAGTATACGGGAC